CATGGCGAGGGCGTCCAGTGCTCAAGGCGGGGCTTGGATTCTCATGAGGGCGAGTAGGGGTTTCCCGGCGGCAGTCCTCTGGACACGACGGCGACATCGGTGAGGTGGCCACGGTCCTGGTGAAACGTCCCGATGGGGGCGTGTAAGCTTCTACGGATTCATGGGGATGCGGCGAGGACGTCCAGGCTCAAGGCGGGGTTCGGGTTCTCCTATGGCCGATGGGGGTTCTTCGGCGGCCACGGCGACATGGTGACGACGGCGAGGCGCACGGGTGCACTACGGGGCTCCAGGGGTGGCCACGGCGTGCGCGTGAGTTACCCGTGGCTCCAGCGAACAGGATGGGGGAGACAAGGAGACGCCAGGCGCTCCCAACGGACCTGGCCACGGTGGTCTAGTGCTCGGGCCGGTGGTGGTGGCGCTCTGGCCGGTGGTCTGGTGCTCTGGCCGGTGGTGGCCACTATGGTCTGGTGCTCTGGCCGGTGGTCTGGTGCTCTGGCCGGTGGTGGCCACGCCACGACGGTGGCGTTGCGAGCGCGATGAGCGAGTGCTCTGCCTTGGCGTCCGTGGGGCTTGGAGGGGTCTACAACGTCCAAGGGCTCGGAGGTGGTCGCGGTGTGCACGTGAGTGTGCCGTGCGTGTGTACCTAGTGGCCGGAGATAGCCTTGGCCTACGCGCTCACGAGGTGGAGCGCCATGGCAGACACGGTAAGGTCCGGTGGCGAGCAGGGAGAGGCCGGAAGGCTCACCATCGGTGTTGAGGGTGAGAGGATAGCGGTGCAGTGAAGAGTCGAGGCCGTGTAGCTCCGGAAGCCGTGCCGTGCAGTGTCGTCCGCTCCGGCTCTGGTGATCTTCCGGTCTTCCTCCCGACAGCGGCTCCGGTGTTTCCTTTTCCCCCCTTCTTCCTCTCCTCCCACTTCTCTCTTGGCTCGGGTGTTTTGTGGATGGCCACAAGGTGGCGGCGGGGCATAGGAGAGCGCTAGGGCAACCGAGGGCCGTGGCTTTATAGTCGAGCTCCGAGCTCCAATGGCAGACGGCGATCGAGCGGTGGAGGCGTGATCAGTGGCATCCAATGGCTCGCGTGCGGTGGCGTAGGCGCGGCGCCAAGGAGACAGGGCCATGCCCTGGGCATGACCCCTGGCCCGCCCTACCACTGCTGTTGAGGCTTGGTCGCACGGGCGGTTGAGCGAGGGCATGGAGAAGACGACGCTGTAGACGGGGTGCGACTGACATGCGGGGTCCATCGGGGCTGGTGCATGCCGGGCGAAGCAAAGAAAAGCGTGAGGCGTGAGCGGTATCTTTGGGCCGGTGGCTAGGCAGCGTCTTGTGCAGCGCATGGGCAAATGGAGAGGAGGGTGAAGGTGGGCCGGTCGGTGGCCTTGGCCGAAAGTGACTAGTTGGGAGGCCCACTTCTTCTTTTCCTTTTCTGTTTTCATTTCTTTTCCATTGTTTGAATTCAAATTTGGTTTGAAATTTGAATTCCAAATTGGTGCAGTTTACTCATTGGAGTTTTAGATATGGGGCCCACAACATTCTTATTTAATTATTAGGAATTTATTTAGCTATTTTGTATAACAAAAATAGATGTAGTTTTGGTTATACAAAAATAGAAATTGTTTTCCTTTTAAGCCTTTATGCTTTTGATTTGATTAATAATTATTTTATGGTTTATTATTTTAATGGAGTGGTTAAGCATAACATAAAGCAAATGAAAATCCAAATCATAACTTGAGTTAACAATGTATGCAAGACTTTGTTTGTCAGAAATTAAATAACATAATCAACAATTGACATGCCATGCTTATGTGTTGACTTGGGTTGGGTTACTTCTAATGCAACACTTAGGGTTGGCTCCTACAATGTCACTCATCATCACATGGGGTTTTAAAGAAAAATTTTATAGTTGTGATTTCTAGTGTATGGATTTTTGGGTTGTTACACATCCGGTCACTTACAGTGACCTTCGTCTTTTCTATCTAGGGCGCCGGTGGCACCGTCGGACTGTCCGCACTCTACGGACGGACACTCCACCGGTGAAGTTTTCTACCCTTTCTCAAGTGTGCTAACCACCAAGTGTATCACCTTATGTACATGTGTTAGCTTATTTTCACAAGCATCTTCAAGGGTGTTAGCACTACACTAGATCCTAAATGCACATGCAATGAGTTAGAGCATCTAGTGGCACTTTGATAACCGCATTTCAATATGAGTTTCACACCTCTTAATAGTACGTCTATCTAACCTAAATATGATCACACTCACTAAATATCTTGATCACCAAAACAAAATGACTTCTACCATTTATACCTTTGCCTTGAGCCTTTTGTTTTTCTTTTTCTTCTTTTCCAAGTTCAAGCGTTTGATCATCACCATGCCGTTACCATCATCATGATCTTCACCATTGCTTCATCACTTGGAGTAGTGCTACCTATCCCATAATCACTTTGATAAACTAGGTTAGCACTTAGGGTTTCATCAATTAACCAAAACCAAACTAGAGCTTTCACCAGTCTTTTCCTTTTTCCTAAAGCATTGTCTAATTTAGTTTCTAAGGCAAACTTATAAATTCAATATAAATTTATGTAGTGGTCCAAAAAGTGTGAAACTAATTTTGTTAGGTTTCTAAAATCACGATCTATCTGCTACTATATCTTGTTCGCATAGTTTTATAGTATTTTTAGGAGTTATCTAATTAAATTGAGATGCTTAATATTATTAAGATATAAACTTGTAGGAATTTTTATGATTAATCAATGCTAGTGTTAATTCTGGAAATTTCACAGTAACTTCCTAATATTATGAGGTGCTCACTGTAATTTTTGTATCTCCATAATAATTAGTTTGCTAAGATAGTTAATGAGTCATAGTTTGAATATATATTAAATCAATGAAATAAAGTAAAAGAAACATCTTGGGATTGTAGAACTAAAACATTTTTCTAGGAAACGACGCCTTATTCGACAACGTAGATGCGTAGCCTAGTACGTTAGTCATAGAGCTAGCTTGTTAGCTTGAGAGGCGTCAACGTATTTTAAGAGTTGTGGTTGTCGTTCCTTAATTACGTTTCTTCGTTTCATCCACATGTATAATAGAAACAACGACAGCTTCCGGAGTCATCTGGAGTAGCAGAAAGGATGGTGCCTTGATGATCGGGTCACCATGATGGAATGCTAATTTTTTGTTATATCTTACTCAGGCAAGCCCCGTTGCATAACCCCTATTATTATGTACTTTATTTTATGCTTGTGCATTAAGTTTTAAGGAGTTGAATGAAAACCATTTGCATATATATATCCTTATCCTATGAGTCCTACTAGTATGCCAGGATCGTATAGATTGTTATGCTATAGGATCCGATAGAAATGAGTGATTACCTGTCACTCGCGACATATAGGAAATATATTATTGTTGTTATTATATTACTATCACATGGAATATATATGGAGTATAATTAGAGCGTCCGCAGTGTATGGATGCGGGGTCATCCTTTTGGGTGGGTCCCACGATGATTTGATGGTGTCTAATATTTGGCTTGCAATGTGTAGAACCGGGTCTACATGCATAGTGGGGCCACCAATCATTACCTTCTGCCCATTCCCCTCCTTTCCTCCGTCTAAACTTCCCATGCGCAAGAGAGAGAAGAGGATGGGAGCGGGTTCGATGCATAGCACCAACTTCTTCGTAGAACCGAGTACACAGTGTATCGAACCAGGTCCTATGCTCGCATTTAATGTATGGAACCAACCTAGAACCGCACACTGCGGATGCTCTTAGAGACCAGACGGAATGGTACTTTAGATCTGGACTTGGTTAGGCATTTGAGCGAGGCTCGGATTGCACATGTTCCGCCTATGTCGATTGAGGATCGTCCGTTGTTTTGGATGGTAGTCAGGTCACAGACTTATTATCCTGAGCACATATTTGCTTATGGGAGCGGAAAGACTTGTTGCTCTGTTGTTATGGGTTCCAGCTCTTTTCGAACAGACTTTTAGGGGTGGGTATTAGGTGGAGATCTAAATACCATACTAAGACCAGGTCTCAGGTGTTGGGGGCTTGGAGTCCAAGTTTGGACGGAGACATGGACCTCTTGACAGGAGTGGAACGGGTTGGTCTTGTTTGTGCCTGGGGTACAAGCGAGGCGTGTGTTTCGGGGTACCCAGCTGGGATACATTGATTCGTGGATCACCGTTTCTTTTGAGACGGTACGACTTGGCTATAGTCTAGCACCGTAGTAATAACTGGAACATGAAAGGTGATAAAATAGTTCTGATTGTTTACCACATGCTTGTAAGTTTTATCCTCTCATTTATGATCCTGACGAAAAATATGGATTTTCGAGTTCTCCTTTTGGGTATGCTCGACGGAACAGCGTGGTTTAGTGCACTCTCTTAAGTACTTAAGGTCTAATGGAAGATAAGTACTCTATAGAGGGCATTAGATCAGGTTGTTCTGCCACGGGAAACCAATACATCTTATAATTGAACTCCATACTAATACTATACTCAAGTTGTTCTAACTTATATGAACATAGATTATAGGATGATAAATTATGTAAGTCATGGATTATTTATTAGAATATAGATGGATAAAGATTTCAAAGATTTATAGTACTATATTTGTTATTTATTATTTTTATTTGGAAGAAAAATGGGAGAAAAAAGAGAAAGAAAAGTCACGTACATACCTCAGGGGGGAAGTGGAAACGGAAAAAAGGAAAAAGAATCGGAAAAGGCCGACGGCAACGTCTTTCGTTAATAAAAAACAGATGGGGATTTTTTTTAATTTTTATTTAGCTGATGTCTGAGACCGAGCCACTATGATTAAAAGTTGGACGAAAATCTAAAGTGGCTAGAAATTTTGTCTCTTTATTGTTAGGTATAGAGGTAGTATAGATAAAAAACTGAACCCTTTTTCAATCACTATACTACTACTACCTCATGGCAATTCACAATTTCACACACGCAAAATTTCATGACGAACAATTACAAATGTAGTATTATGCAGTCAGATCCCTTTACAAACACTGCCAAGTGAATCGTAAATTTGATTGGATGTTCTCTCATTGTCGCAGTATATAACAGTCCTATCAGATGTTATCTTCACCAAAGCATCTCCAGGACTAGTAATCAGAACAGAACATTCACTAGCAGTGGAGCTATCATCTGCAGCAAATGAACATACCATCCCCTTCTCTTGCAATGCTGACAGCAAGCGACCTGGGTCAATAGTGCTACAGTGTAGCAAGTGACGCTTTGATTGATCTGATTGCTTTTCTGCAGAAGCAAGCTGGTACCGTCCACTGCTTACAAGCAGCTTTGTTCTCAATCTTGCCACTGCAGTGGTTTCGTTCAGTTGCCTAGGCTGCAATCTGAAGGCAACATCAGTTGCAAGATGCACCTCAAAATCTTCGCGTAAATTTGGGAGCTCGATGGTCTTGCCCTTGGAGTAATAGAAGAATGACCATGGCACCTCCTTTATTGAACACCGTGACTTAAGACTTTCAGGAAGCTGCATAATAAAGTGGGCCATAAGGAAAGGATTGACAACTTAAGGTAGCTGGAAACAAGGACTGTCATACCATTACAAACTTCGGTTTGAGCACTCCCAGTAATGGATCAATATTTCCCACCCTGTTATCAAGAAAGTTGTCTTTTTTTCAACGTATAATCTACGATATCAGAAACACAACCTTTTGAAGTTATAACGTACCTTACGCCAGAAAGGAAAGAACATTCAAGGACTTGAATTGCCAAGGGCATGAAAGGCTTAAGACTCAACTCAGCATCATTTCCTTGCTGCAAGCAAAGATTTATGCAGTTTAGCAACAGAGCAACAGCAATCAGTAATAGGTAGATGTTAGACTCAGCAAAGGGCGGACATTTTTTTACCTCCACAACAAGAAGGCACCGTTTGTCTGCATGCCAGCGACGAAGCAAATGGACAGCTGGGCCAAGCCTAAGGCTCCAGTGTGGACAGAGCACAATACAAGGCTCCTTCCATGCTGCCCTGTCAATAGTATAGTGTTGTCACACAGCAGAACCAAAATATGACAGAAAACAGCAACCCAAGTACAAGTGAGCTCAAATGGATACAGGATACATAAGATGCATGCCCCATAAATTGTGCTAAATTAAAATTATAAGAAAAAAGCCTTTAGTGATCATTTATAAGAAGAGTAGCAAAGATGAGAAAAGAATTCCAAGCATGTCCTTAGTCTTTCTATGTATTAGCTGTAAATCATATGTTATCAAATTCTTACAGTAAGCCCTTTGAGTGTAAATGCGGGAACACAAATAATTTGCCCTCCTTCAAAAGCTCGACATGGCCAAACAATGCCTCACCAGCAAATAGCTGCAACATAACCAGCAATGAAGTGAGGCCATTTAACTCTAAAATTTCAAGACAAGAGTCAAGATTAGTCAAAGTGAACAACCTTTTCTTGACGTGACTTGCATAGCCATTCAGGCAAGGCATTAGTAAAAGCAAATATTTCTTCTGCTGTTTCAGAAATCACAAATATGGGTACCTGACTCAGACAAAAAAAAAATGAGCCAAAAACAGGGGAGAATAATCTAAGAAAAGGTGCTGTTACTAGTTAGCTACAGAACCTTAGCACTATATTCACATTTCATGGGATAGAAAGAATATAAGGGGTAGGCAAGCTGTACTATGTCAGATACTCAAATAGTCCATTCCTTATCAGTTAATAACTTAAGATACCTGAACCATATGCATAGTTAAACATCCCTAAATGCTAACAATTTTTCAGGCAGTTGATGGCAAATTAGGCATTGGCATCTTGCATGACCACGTTAGGAAAAAAAAATCATACCATAAGCATTGCCTCGAGAGCTGAGGTTCACATGTTAAATTAATTAAGCGTGACAATAATATTATTGCAATCTGAAAATCCACTATATTATTCCAAGGCCACAATTACCTTCATGCTGGAAGAATGTAGCATTTCTGATATAAGCTCCAAAAGTAAAAGAATAACACCAAGGCGGCCAATTGGTATTAGAACAGAGCCTCCAGATTTTACTGCATCAAAAATACATGAGCATATAAAGCTGATTCTCTCAATCTCCTCTGTGATATCATCCTTGTTGCACATGAATGGCATCTTTTCATCTGCATCAGCACTGTCATCCCTGCAAGGTTTCGAGTTTAACACTTCATCCCAAAGAAGCATTGAAATTTATAATTACACACGTATTTCATGTACAGCCTACCTCAACACTGAGTAGCGACATAGTGAAGAGTCTGTTTCATCCATTGAATGCTCATTCAGTTTCTCATTATCCTCATCCATGTCATTCAAGGATGAGAAATCCGAAAACAAAATCACATCATTTTCCTTCAGAGAGCTGTAATCAAAATCTAATGCATGAGCTGACACAAATACTGAACTTGGTAGGTAGGTAACGCTAGCTCTTGGACCTTTTATTGCCCAGGTAGAATTGCCAAGTTCAAGGCCCGAACTAGAAGCTTTCAGCATAAATATGCCATTGAAGCAAACCTCCTCTCCATATTTAACAGGCTGTACTTTGTGCATGCATTCTTCTATGTTTCCTGGACTGCCAAGTAAATGTAATTCAGTTAAATCAAGAGAAACCATGACGACAAAGCAGTGATATAGAATTAGTGATGGCATCATTACAGTGAATCTCCATACAGTCATTCTTTTCTAATCCAATATAAATTCTTTGTGGAAGTAAACAGCTACATTACAACAAAAACAGTAGCAACACGCATATCACTAAGTTGAGAAAACCAGAACCAAGATTAAGATATTTGAGTATTTGATAAGCCACAGATCCAATGATGAATATTTAAGTAAAAACAAGTTCACTTTTTAAAGGCCAATATTGAAAGTTAGAACAGGTATGCACTATATCTTAAGCTTTCAGACATATAAATTGCCCTGCGGGAAGACTGGAAGAGAATCCACAGATGTGCAAGCCAGCAGGCTCGTGATTCTGTAACGGACCTGTACAGAGGCACCAGAGAATTCGAATCATATTCCCTGCCTTCAATCACTGCCTTCTGCAGCATTGACATGAGTTCATTGAGTTCCTCCCCTTCCATCCACTTGGGTGATGCATCCGTATCTGGCCCATAGTACCTCACAAACTCACGGTGCATCTCCACCAGCTCCTCCATCATTAGCTTTCCGATCCTTGCTGCTACCTCTGTCACATATACCTACCCATACAGAACAAGCAAAGACTCCAAAATGGTTAGGTCTCATCTCATAAAACATTTTACAGTGAGCAAAATGGTTAGGTCTCATCTCCAAAATGGTTCATCTCATAAAACATTTTTCAGTGAGCAAAATGGTTAGGTTTCTATCCCTTTCATTCATAAAGGAGAAACGTATTCCCATTGTTATTTTATGAAAAACATAAGTTCAAATGTTCCCAGTAATATATTTCACTTTTTGCCTTGCTGCCTACTGCCAATGAAAGTTATATGTCTGCAAAGTGGAGTAAAGGCAAATGATTATGCACATTGTATTCCTGCAGGATTAAGTTCTTTTTTAGTTATATTGTTACACAACTCAATAGCTAATAGCTTATACTAACACTGCGCTTTAAACATACAGCATCTCTTACAAAACTGTAAAAACCAGAAAATTGAAGAATACTACCCAAACAATCAAGCTGAAACCTACTACTAGTATGCTACAGAGAAAGAAGCAGAAGCAGGGGAAGCACCTTGGTGTCGGCGAATCCAGGGAGCCCGGTGAGGAAGGGGAGTCCAAGCATCCCCGTAGCGGAAGACACGAGCACGGCATCCACGCCGCCTGCTTTCGCGGCCGCTGGCAACCAGTAGCGCGGCACCGCGCGGATGAGGCCCGCCGCGTCACCGGCGAGGGGCACCGGGGCGAAGGCCGCGAGGGCGGAGAGGTCGATGGGGCAGTCGAGGAGGAAGCGGAACCCCTCCAGCTCCAGGAGATGGCTCGCCGGCGAGTGGTAGCCGCTGCCGCCGCTGGCGGACAAGCAGGTCTGCGAGGAGGCGCGCGTTAGGGTCAGAGTCCGAAGGTTTCACCTGGGACTGAGAGGAGTGTGCTTGGTGCTTACCAGCTTCATGGCGGCTTCTGCGTTCGGTGCGCCTGACTGGGCCCCTCAGCGGCTCAGGGCGGCAGCGTAGCCGGTGGGCGGTGGCGGCGAGCGGCAACGCATTGGTCGTGGCCAGTGGTGTGGGGGGTGAACTGGCGAAGGGCCGAAGGCGGCGCGCTGCGCGTGGACGAGGCGAGGCGAACGGGTTCCTCCGTTTGAAGGCACGTGACTTCCGGGTGGATTGGGCCGGAATCCCGGCACTAGCATAGCCTTGTGATATTATTTTTGAGCCCAAGAGTAGGCGCGGTGAAGGCCCATGATAGTTCATGGTTGCGCATCCCGCCGCCGGCGCCATGCTCCGCCTCCAAAAACACCTCCCTTCGTCTGCAACAACATCTCCTTCCCCTCCATCTCTCCGCCTCCCTCATACAGCTCTCCCTCCAGCGCGCTCTCCTCTCCACCGCCGCCGCGACCTACTCCTCTCCGGGCCACTTCGCCGCCGATGACTACCTCGTCTCGACCTGCGGCCTCACCCGGGAGCAAACCGCGAACGCCGCCAAGTGTATCTCCCACTGGAAATCGTCCTCCAACGCCGATGCCGTGCTGTCCTTCCTCACCGGCCCGGCGCTCGGCCTCTCCAAGGCCGAGATCCAGCTGCTCGTGGCCAAAGACCCGCGCATCCTCAGCTGCAGCGTCGACAACACCCTGCGGGTCCGCGTGGACCGCTTCCGCAGCTACGGCTTCTCCGCCGCGCAGATCAGCAACTTCGTCCGCGTGGCCCCCTGCTCCTTCCGCACCTTCAACATCGACGAGAAGCTCGGCTTCTGGATGCCCTTCCTCGGCTCGCCCGACAGGTTCCTCCGCATTGTCAGGCATAACTTCTACCTCGTCACCTCCGACCTCGACAAGGTGGTGAAGACCAACATCCTGCTGCTCCAGGAGTGCGATCTATCTGTCCAGGAGATTGGCAACCTGTGCGTGGCCAACCCGAGGCTGCTCACCGGCAACCCGGACAGAACCAGGGCCATCCTCGTGCGTGCCGATGAGATGGGCGTGCCCCTCAACACGCTTTTGTTCAGGCAGGCTGTGACCGCCGTGTCGGGCGTCGGCCCGGAGACCATGGCCTCTAAGCTCAAGATGATGGCCAAGATTCTCGGGTGCTCAGACGCTGAGGTTGCCAGAATGGTGCAGAGGAACCCGTTGGTGCTGAGGCGCTCCAGGGAGAGGATTCAGCGCACCTGTGAGTTCCTGACCAATGTGGTCGGCGTCGATACCAAGTACATTCAGGGCAGGCCAACAATCCTGATGTACAGTCTGGAACGCCGGCTGGTGCCCCGGCATTACGTGATGAAGGTGCTCCAGGACAAAGGATTGATCCGGAAAGATCAGAGCTTCTACACGATGGTCACGGTTAGTGATAACGTGTTCTGCTCCAGGTATGTACATCCTCATAAGGATGTTCTTCCTAGCCTTGCCGATGCATATGCGTCTGCTTGCAATGGTAAAATAGCCATCTGAGGCGCGCTATGAAATGATTCCAGCAAAATGGCTATTGTCATGTTCGCTTGGCTGATAAGCCATGGCTGAAATTACCGTTGACTGATTTGTTGTGGGAGAAAAATATTGTTCGTTGGCCGAAAAAGTACGATTTATAAGCCAAGCAAACAGGGCGTATATGGGCAGCAACTGCAGTTGCATCCTGCATGTCATTCTTAACACATTCAGATACCCCCCTGATGTGTACTCTGCAAGACTGTAGCTCTGTACTTGGCTCATAGCTTCAGAATTGCAGAAACTCAGTAGAATTTATGAATGACCAAAGCACGATCTGTTAAATTCATATACCTTGCTTTGGATTCTGATGTTGAATTCAACTCATGCTACTGGTACGCAGAATGATATGGTTCGGTTCATAAATTTATCTCAGTTTCTGTCATGGTTCTGTTTTTGTGGTGAGCATCAATGAACTATGGATCCGTGAGCATTTTCTCAGCCAGTTATCGGATTTTTAAGTTATAGATGTAATCACAAATGACTGCCTCAAGTGTTGCCTTTCCTCTTGCTATATGTTGCACGCATTTGATCGCTTTCTTAAAGCAAAACAGCTCATGATGGTTTCCACCATATAATATGATAAGATTATCCAAGAAAAAAAGTCGTTTTGTGTCATGCTAATCGAATTTTATCCAAAGTGTTTGGCATTTTGTACTAGATACAAATAGAACGCCAACGTGCAATTATGAGACGGGCTGTAAAACTCTCGTACTTTATCAATAACTCGTAAATTGGAATAATCTCGTACCCTTTCGTAAAGAAATGCGCCTTTTGTTTTCCTGAAATGGCCGCACACAGGACAGACAATGTGGTGCGACTAGACGCGTAGTTGAAATGTTCTCCTGATGACGTTGCCTATGTGCAAGATAAGATGACGCATGCACGTCCACTTGTGTTAGCCCTTCATTTCTTTTTGACCCACAGCAAGTAATGTGGGCGCTACTTGTCGGTTTTTTTTTTGACGTACTGATATTGATTCAAACACGAGTGGCCTCGTTTATTTTGTGTGTCTAGAATACGGACTTGTCACTTGTAAGTTATGATCGACTGATCGAGGCGTACGCCCGTGCTGTATACATAGACGTGTACGTAGACCCATCAATGCGCCAAATGTATCGGTCTCAACTCATTAGAAAAAAATAGTCGTTTTGTAGCTATATTGCATACTACATTACCTCCTCTAATTTTGTTCTTCTAACTTAAAAGAAGCTTACATAAAATATGAAAAACAGACATACATCAAATTAATTTCATTAAATTGACTATGAAATGCATCTTAATAGTGTATTTATTTAGTATTGTAGATGTCACAATATTAAATTGGCCAGACTTTGAGAAATCTATTATTATGAAAAAAACTAAAATAACTTATAATTCAAGATGTGTGTGTGTGTGTCGTATCATCGTATGTGGTTAGGGGCGAGTACCTTTTTTAATAAATAAAAAGATCCGGCTTCATCTCTTGAAACCAAGATAATCAGACCAATTTTTACATAAGTTGAGGCACACATAAAACTAAATCCACTCAAAAACCAATCCTAACATTATTGAGCCATCTAAAAGAAGCAAATAATTGCATAACCGATGTTTCTAGCGCCTACCAAACTTGAGAGAAGCGATCCTTGATTTCATCACACCTTTGCAACAATGACCAATGTGGTAGACAGTGTGTTCCTTTGAATAAAACCTACAAAAGAGATTTGAGTCGGCATTTATCGGAAACCATATCATTTCTTACTAGCTATAAGGTCCAACAAATGGCTATGCCACCCGTCAATAACAACGTCTTATTTGATCTATCCCTTTGTTTGTGTCAATTATGAAAGATATCCATTACATTTAAAAGGGGTTTGAGACCCAAAACGAGATGTATCGTCCGCCACAAAGAACTTAGCATGCCTATTCAGAAACACGAATTAGGTCTTGTTTGGATCCTGTGGTCTAACTTTAGACTACTTGAGCTCTTCAGGTTCTAAACAAGAAGTCAAAAAATGTTATCAAAAGTTTAGCAAACCATCACAAAAAAATTTAGACTATCCAAACAGGACCTTAGAGACCAAGGTGTTTATAGCTGAGGGCACCCTGTGAACAAACCGTGAAAGATATGAAAGACTAGAACAAGAACCAGTAGAAGGGATAGAAGCCTTTGAAGTAACATCATCCTCGAGAAAGTAGGTATATACGCGTAAAATCGTGGAAGCAGCCGCATAAAAACCCGGCCTTCTGAAGCTTTGGGTCCAGGATCAGGCCCAGACATCTTCCATCCGGCCATCCCTGTTGGGACGTAACAAGCGCGTCAACGCATTCTTTCTTTTGGATGACCATCATCTACACAAGCAGACAATCGCAAGTTGCTGAGATATGATGCTGATGAAATGGCAACTTCACTGCTCAGAGCTTCAGAAGCTTCGTCGGAAGATAAGGCACAGCACGTGGAGACTGGACGGGACCTGTATTGTCTACCTCAGGCAGTCAAACGTTCTCTCTCTCTAGAAACAAAAGAGTTATAAAGCCAGCCGCCTCAGATATCCAGAGAACCCAGCCCGCGGGTAGGAAGTCAGCCTGAGGCTTCCAGAGCCCGAGGATCCAAGTTGAGGCAATGAGGCAAGCGCGTGCGCCGCCTCGCGACGTGCAGAGACTCCACCTCTCTGTCTGTGGTGCAAACTGCAGAAGCGACCGCGTGATCGTGATTGCATCCTCACCCGGCAACACACACCGTCAGCCGTCACCCCTCGCGCGCGTCGTGGCCTCGTGCCGTGCGTCGTGGGGGTTGCGCGCGACGGCGACGGCACGTAACCCGGCCGGTGAGGTGGCGACTACCACGTGACGTCTGCGCCGCGCCAGACTGGTGGGTTGCCCGGCGGCGCCCACCCGTGTGTGTGTGATCCCAAAGGCGCAGCACTTTTCAGGTTCCTTCCACGGACGTGTGGTGCGTATATCCCGCGGCCGCAAGCCAATAGAACTGACCGATCAGCTGTGGATTATTCAGCTTGCGGATCGTAGTTTCCGGGTCATTTTCCTTCTCCAACTAGTCGTTTGACGCTTGTCCTGCAAAACTGGCCAGCCTAATGCAGCATTAAATACCTGTTTTTTCTTCAGATGACCATCAATTAGTCGTTGAAGGTAGGTTGGGTATAAGACGAAAGAGCATGTAGCCACTTGATTACAAGTGATTTTTTTTTTTCTTGGGGGAATAGATTACAAGTGATTTAATAGCACATCGGCTCGACTGAGTGAATTCAAACTGGTCGAAAAAAAATCCTCCCTTCGTCGGTTAGAACTGAAGTTTGAGGATTTTGCCAGCAAAATTAAGTTTTTATTAGCATAAGATCAATACGTGGTATTGACCTAGTAGTGTGACCTCGTAAATGAGAGGTTCACTCCACCACGTTATCTAGTTTCTTACGAGCTAAGTATACGCGCGTAGCGAACGTTGCAGTTTCTCTCTTTCTGGTGGTGGTATTGCTGTATCTTCGAATGCACGTAGTGCCGTATCGGACACCCCCTGACTGATTCGTCTATCTATATCAGCACTTCAGCAGTAGGACAATAAAACAAAAATGTGTCCACCGTACCATCACAGTCATTCGCTTGGACAATTTATCTAAAACGCGCTAGCTGTTGATGAAGTAGTATAATAATACTCCTATACTGCAAGATGACGTCCATTGCTTTGGTACTCAAGATGACGTCAAACGACCATTGCTTTGGTACTCAAGATGACGTCAAACGGCCAATGCAACTGCAAGTAGGGGGGTTAGTTTCCTGATCAACCAAAAGAACAATGCTCCTACTTGCCATACCTTATTTTATAAAGACTGTACATTGACCTAAATTAAATAGGTCGACAGACTTTAAGACTAAGGCCTTGTTTAGATTCCAAGTTTTTTCACTCTCTCCATCACATCAAATCTTTGGACACATGCATGGAGTATTAAATATAGATAAAAAAAATAACTAATTACACAGTTTGATTGTAAATTACGACATGAATCTTTTGAGCCTAGTTAGGCCATGATTGGACAATAATTGTCAAATACAAACGAAAGTGCTACAGTGCCGAATACTGATTTCTAACCCTGAACTAAACAAGGCCTAATATAATACTGCAGACACAAAGATTTGCCTCAATACCGGGCCAAGCCGTCTCTGATTGATTATACATAAACCAATCACCTTATCGGGTTGCATTATTTCTAGTTCATATAAAGTGTCATTCAAATTATTGTAGACAGTAAAATTTGACCTGCGGTTAGGAAGGTTTTGCTGTCCAAAGGGTCATCTAATTACAACCATACTTAATACTATATTAGCAAATATATCCGTACCTTACAACGGAATGTACAACTTCTCACGTGTCACCTAGATGACTTATGGCTGAGATTTATGCAATAACCACGTCTCTGTTTTGGTACCTCTTCGAATCAGACTTTGCATGGTTAGACACGTGTTGTTCGCGGGTCTCATATTGAATTTGGATCATTGCTGCCTTTAGATTGGAGACGTGATTTCATGTTGGATTTAGATTATTGAAAACATGTGGATGATAATAGTAAGGTGTGGACAAGGGAGAGTGATGTGTGATCTGCCGGCTCAGTCCTTCGGAGATGCTTATAGGGTAGGGTTTATGCACGTGTGTCTATAGGGTGAATGTGTGTGCGTGTTGTGGGCATCCTACGTCGTACTGTGTGTTTAAAAAAAAAACATGCAAAAAGGTAAAGAAGACTGATTATTTTAACATTAGATATATAAACATAGATACTTCTCTATGAATCCACAAAGACATGGCAGCCGCCTAGTGAATGAAATATTACTACGAAAAATGGTCGCAGATTGAGTGAGCACCAATAAGACATGTAGCACATGGATGATGGATCAACGGGATACTTAAAAGGATCCGATGCCATGCAAATACGCAATCATTGAATCGTGTGAAAGATTAACATGGGACAGGATGAGTACACTTTGCGAGGGAATCACGACAAATAATTCCCAAGGATCATGTCTCTCAATGGGCGCTAGTTACTAGTCCAACTCTCCGTGACCAGAAAATACACAAGAATTTCCTGAAGACGACGCTAGCCGTGATGCATTAAGATTTGTACTATCCACGCAACCGTTGTCCTACATACAGGATGGAAAAAGTTTCCTTTCTTTGCACGTGTTATTCGCAGCGGAGCGGGCCAAAGCTTTTCCACGCTGGGCTGCAGCTGCAGGTCCACGAGAGCTTCGTCCTTCTCTTTCTCCAACCGGTGTGGCCCCGCCCAGAGGCCAGACCGTCATATATTAACCCCGATTTGTCCAGCCCGTGATCTCCCCGGTGACAACAACTTCTCAGCGCGGCTTCGCCTCTGCCTCAGCCAAATCCAAACGTGACGGTCGCCGGACTCCGGAGGAAGGAGACCCGAAGCTCACCTCCCGGTCCCCTCGCCTCTCCTTACAATCTCCGAGGCGGCGGCCGACGTCGCGTAGCCGCTTTCTCACATCTAGTCTCCTTCGCCGCCGCCTATACTCCTGCAGAAATAGTCCCAGGGAGGGCGGTTGCTGCTTCTTGTTCGTGTTGCTTCGCCCGCCGCACGCGGGATCCATTTGACCGAGCGACCTACCCACACACCGAGAGCCAGCCATGGGGCAAAAACACAGCTCGCGAGACGGGAGCAGCAACGGGCGGTGCCAGCCCTCCTTCCAGCAGCAGCCGTCGTCGCAGTGGGGCGCCGGAGGAGGGTATTACGCCCAGGACCCGCGCGCCGGCTACTACGGCGCGCCGCCGCCACAACAAGGAGGAGGGTACGCCGCGCCGTACCCGGCCCCGGCGTACCAGCCCACCGCCGCCGCTTCTCCGGCGCCGCAGGCCGCGAAGCCGCGTCAGCTGGACCGGCGGTACTCGCGGATTGCCGACGACTACCACTCGGTGGACCAGGTACGCGTGCGATTGCTATGTCATTGGTAATTCGTAGCGAGGTCTTGGATCTTAGTTACAGTGGAAGCAGTGAATCGGCTCGATTTGAACTCCCCGTTCGCTTGCTTACGCCTTGTGTGGATCTATGGGGTCCCTAGTTTTCCTTACTTGCTACGAAGTTTAGGGAACATGACCGATCTGTGCTTCGTAGTTTCTCAATCTGCAGTCGATTAAAATTTCAAAGGATATCTAAGATGACGATGGGGGGCTCTACAAATTCTGATATAGAACATGGTGGTTCTATTTGTTAGTCAACCATCAATTACTGTTCATGAATCATGAAGGATTCATGCACACGAAAGTAGATGTTAGTGCAGGGTCAGTGCTCACAGCTCATTGGAAGAATAGACAATATTTTTTGTAAGGTTGGCAACTTGGCAATATTGAAGGCATTTGTGTAGTTGTGTTAGGTTAGAGTTGCTCGGTTGGCCACATTTCAGTTATGCTTCCCCTGGACTATCTTTCAGAAGACCAAATCTTTCCCTTTTGCAGGTTACTGATGCTCTAGCTCAAGCAGGACTTGAATCATCAAATCTTATTGTTGGCATTGATTTCACAAAGAGCAATGAGTGGACAGGTTAGCACTTATTAACTGTTTGTTTGTTTCATTGCCTTACAGTCTGATGAAATGCCTCGCTTCCTGATGCTAATGATTTTCTTTCCTTCTATCAGGCAAATTCTCTTTCCATGGACGTAGTCTACATCACATTAGCAACACACCGAATCCGTATGAACAAGCCATCTCGATTATTGGGCGAACACTATCGAAATTTGATGAAGATAATTTGATTCCATGTTTTGGATTTGGAGATGGTAATGGTTTCATTCACGGTTGACTGTTTCTTACACTATTTGATAATGTCTCTAAATCCTAATTCACCATGCACTTTTTTCTTTCAGCATCAACACATGATCAAGACGTCTTCTGTTTCTCTCCTGACGAGAGACCTTGCAATGGATTCGAAGAAGCTCTCGATCGTTATCGGGAACTTGTACCATGTTTGCGCTTAGCTGGTAAGCTGCTATACCTTGTTCATCCATTTAATTCGATTGTTCATATGTTCCATCTTCTGTTTACACTAATTCTTAACAGGACCAACATCCTTTGCACCAATTATTGAGATGGCTATGACCATTGTGGAGCAAAGTGGCGGGCAATACCACGTCCTATTGATAATTGCAGATGGGCAGGTACCATGTTAACTCTTCTTGTTGGGATGTTATGCAACTAATTTGATGGCTGTGAATACTCTATCCTGTTTAAGTCATTTTTTTCTTACCTGTATATTGCCATTACCCAAATTTAGCATGTCGATACATGCAACAATGAAATAGAATTTTGTTGTTATATAAAATAAAGCATTTATAGTATCATAATATCTGTTTCAAATGTGTTCTATCTGATTCCTCACTTGTGGTCTCCCTTTTCCCCTTAGTCTGCAACTATGAATCCTTTAGACAGTAGCGAGTAGTGACAATAGCAACCTTTGGCTGAATAATTCACATTTGCTGTTATTGTATAATTCGTTGGTGTATTGCTTGGCTGAATAGTTCTCTCTTGTTAATCTGTATATTGCTCAGGTTACGAGGAGTGTAGATACTGCATCTGGACAGCTGAGTTCGCAAGAGCAAAAGACTGTTGATGCCATTGTGAAGGCCAGGTAACACCCACATAAATGTGCTTCATTACCTTGTTTCAAAATACTCTTACTGAAATGGTGTCTTGACATTTACTTACAACTATGACATCATCATGTTTCATAATTTTCCTGGCCTCCTGTGTCAGAAACACTTCTGATTGTTTCAGCTTGTCTTTTGTCTGCAGTGAATTGCCTTTGTCCATTGTGTTAGTAGGAGTTGGTGATGGCCCCTGGGACATGATGAAGGAATTTGATGACAACATTCCTGCTCGAGCTTTTGACAATTTCCAAGTAAGTCGACATGGAACCTATACCAAATAGCTCATGTCTGCGATGATTGATGTGATTAAACATGTTTGCGTTTTTTGTATGATGAATTCTTTTTCCCTAACATTGAGAATTTATTGCTTGTCTAGTTTGTAAATTTCTCGGAGATAATGTCCAAGAACATGGCACAATCAAGGAAAGAGGCTGCATTTGCTCTTTCAGCATTGATGGAGATACCACAACAGTATAAAGCAACCGTGGAATTAGGAATTTTAGGGTATGTTTTCTTTTCCTGAATCATATCCTCATTCTTGCTTTGATTATTTGTTCATTCTAATTGCCTACTGACTTGTCTCAATGTGCCGCAAGCAGTCGCCGCTCTTTCAAGAATCCTGACAGAGTTCCTCTGCCTCCCCCTACTGGAAGTTATGATGCTTATTCCTATTCATCTAAAAGCTTTAGTAAACCAAACACCTACCCGCAGAGCTCTTCATCCGCATCACCCTATCCTCACTATGAAACTCCACATACAGCCACCCCAGCTGCACCTTCATCCACTTATGACAACCAGGTACAACTTCATGTGCCCTGACAAAATAATTTATTCTGCTTGATCTCTGAGTTATGTGTCTCCTAGAGGTATCTGTGCATCATTTGTCTCTGACCATCAACATTTATCTGCCTTCTAGGTCTGTCCTATCTGCCTTGTGAACCCCAAAGACATGGCGTTTGGCTGTGGACACCAGGTGAATCTCCTACCTCTCTCTCTTTCTTGTGTTACAGTTGATCTACACCTTTTTTTATGAGGACTAGTATGCCTGTGCTGTTTTTCTTAAGATGCCAAGATAGATTAGTGCCTTGTTGGACGAGTCATTTTCAGTTGTGGAAGTGTGTTGAAACGTCAGCTTCATATACTTATATAATCTAACAAAAGGATATTCTTTGCAGACTTGCTGTGACTGCGGACAGAGTCTCGAGTCGTGCCCAATCTGTCGCACTCCCATCACTACAAGGATAAAGCTATACTAGCAAGTAGTGGTTTGGATCATTGCCAATGGGTGGTATACTGGAGCCACCCTGCCTCACACTGGAGGATCGGGACAGCATGTACCATTTGCAATCGGAACGCTGGAACGGCACTCCATAGATCGATTGGATCTAAGGATTGCAGGGAAAGCATGGATCGATTGGAGCCTAGGATTGCAGGGCTGTTGATCCATCGCTCAGGGTTGTCCCAGTATTCATATCCACCAGGAATGATCCGAATCGCAGCTTGCCAAAAAGAAAAAAAAACGAGAAGAAAAAGAGAGGAAAACACAGAAGTGGTGGTGTGGTGGATCAGACAATTGCGTGTAGGGCACTGACACGCAACTCCAGCTTGGTGCCTTGGTTACTAACCTGCAACTCTATAGTTGTATTGTACATACCGAAATTCTCCCCTGTCTGGACTTCTGACGTCAGGTCTAGAGGATTCTTTATTTGTGCCCGTGCTTTTAGTTTCGTCCGAGATATGTTGATTTGTTCTTTGCTTGCAATTGTGTAAAAAAATAAAACCGCATTTTTTGGTGAATTAAAAAAATGATGCTTGGTAGGTGTGTCCCGAGTCTTGCTCGGGCAGCCTCACCTATGTTTGAGCGCGCGGTTATCATGGGTGCTAATTTGAGTTCTTACTTGATATGTTAGTGCTTCTGACCGTGTTTGAAAAAAAAGATTGAGTTTGATCTCGATACGCCTGTCAGCTGGCGTGAATTTATTGCACGACTACGGGCTGGTTAACTTCCAAAATTTATCATACCAAAGATTTGGCAAGCCAAAAGTTAAGTAAAAAAATTATCATAGATTTGGCAAACTAAATATGAGAGTTTGATAAGTTTTGGTAATAAACTAAATGCTAACTAAAATTATGGCTTGTAAATCTTTGGCATGTAAATTTTGGAAGCAAACCAGGCCATACGACTACGAGTTGGCGATGGCATGGGGGCACTGCGTGGTTTTCTGAGGCGAGGGCACTGCGGGCTGGGAAACACCAGTCTCTTTGAACCCGTTTCGTTGCAGACTTGCAGTGCGTTCCTTTCCCAGGAGACCAGGCCATCCCACAAGGCCCTTTTAAGGCATTGTTTAACTCCACGACGTAAAGTTTTTGATATCACGTCGCATGTTATATGGAGAAGGTGTATGGAATATTCGGATACTAATAAAAAATAAATTACAGAAGTCCATTAGTAAAACCGTGAGGTAAATTTATTAAACCTAATTAATCTGTCATTAGCATATGTGTTACTGTAGCACCATATTGTCAAATCATGAACTAATTAGGCTTAAAAGATTCGTCTCACAAATTAGTCGCAAACTGTATAATTAGTTATTTTTTGGTTTATATTTAATACTCCATACATGTATCAAAACATTCGATAGGATATGGTATAAAGGGAAAGAACTAAACAAGACCTGTCGGGTTCATAAACCCGGGGTCCCTCGGGGACCGGCTTCGACGTCCGGGCTCAGCCTAGGAGAACAGCCTGTAGCTCATGGGCCGACCCAAAAAGTCTAAAAAACAACGGGCCGGAGGGACAGACCGGTCATTAACCGGAGGTCCATCGAAAGAACGAACACCCGCTCGACAACTTCTTCGGCCCACCTTTCCGACCGGAGCGCTCGCCTCGGGCGCCGGCCGCCTCCGGGCGGACTCTCCGATCGGAAGGCCTGACCCAAAACGCTGCTTCCTACTCCGACCCCGCGTCTCCGACCGGAGACTCAGGGAAGCTCGCTGCATCGCTTCTTCTCCGATCGCACGACCAAGTACCAAGCTGGAGCCATCCGACCGGGATTCCGCCGGAAAGGACCAAGGCGAACGGAGAAAGCAAACAAGACAAAGTCAAAAACACAGTATCGGGACCATACCTCAGACGCTCATGGAACAAAGTGCTCCACAACCGACCTGACACAAACAGTATGGGAGGTACCGACATTTATGTCTACAGTATTGTAGGCGCCGACATTTATGTCTACATATTGCAAGCGCCGTCGGGGCTTCCGTACGGCAAAAAGGCCCCCACATGTCTATGGGCATCGATAGTGGGCACCATGATTCACCATACCTGGTACACGTGGTGGGGCTCCTCATATACTAACAACATTTCACAGGTACCGACGTCCACCCTTCCTGAAGAAGCCAACACAACCCCTCATGTGCACCTGACATTCTACAGCGACATCAACAATGTTATGCGTGTCAACCATCATCACTACCCTCATTCGGCATGAGCAACAAGACTTAGAAACATCCGTACTCTCTCCCTCTCACTCTGTAAAGCCATCCCTTTTATCTATAAAAGGGGATGCGCTCCCTTCAACAAAGGAGATCGATTTTCTAGAGGTTCACTTCTTCAAGCTCAGGCTCACTAGATCGATAGCTCAGAAACCCCTTAAGCACACGCTTGAACACCTAGCTCATAGCGGAGTTCCGGTCGCCCTCGGCCCTTCCGGTCGGACCCGATCGGGCCTCTCGTACACCCCTCCTTTCTCCTTCTCGTTTGTAAACCCCACTACAGACTTCAAGCACCTGAACTCAGGAATAAAGTCACCAACAGACCCACACTGGACGTAGGGCACGTTGCCTGAACCAGTCTAAATCCTGTGTCATTGAGTGTTAGGCCACATCCGATCATAACGTACAACAAAACTATAAATATTCACTATTCATTGGTAGCCACAAGACCTGAGCTAGCCACAAGACCTGAGCCTCGTGCACATTCTCTCCTTCGACAATTCCGAAATTCCTCAATCATCGGGTTGTTCAGGCCCTGTTCGGGCTTTTGAACCTGCTTTACTTTTGCAAAAGCAAAAAACTAATCAAAGAGCTTAAAAGCTACCGCTGTTTTATACTTAAAAACTGTTTTTGCTCTAGTACGAAATTGAAAGCAGTTATACCCTGCTTTCAGTTGCTTTTGGGAAGTATTTCCCACCTACCTTATGAAACCGAATCGTTATTTTCCTTTCTTCCTTCTGTTCGCATCTCCGTACCCACGGCCCGGCGGCGAGCAGCACCGGCTCCGGTCGCGCCGCCCCGTCCTCATCGGCTCCGGAGGCGGGCGAGCGTCACCGGCCCCGGCGGCATGGCCCCTCTCCCCACTCCACCCTCCGGCAGCCTCCCCACATCCGGCGGCAAGGCCTCCCACATCCGGCGACCGAGATCTCCGGCGGACGGCCTCCACACATCCGGCGAGCCCCTCTTCCTCCTGGACGCGAGCAGCAACAGAGGAAGCCGGCAAGTGCGCGAACGCGGAATCCACGCTCAACTCCGTCCAGCAGGCAGCAGAGGATGGACGCCGTGCTTCACTCCGGTCGCGGGCTTCCTCTCCGCCGCGCATGTCAGCTTGCCGTTTTTCCATAGAAAAGTAAAAGAAGAAATACACCTGAAATACACTTGTACCTATCCTATACAGTCAATAAGCGTGAACTATCCATCTCTGGATGTGTGGCCATGATCATCTAGCAAGCTACCCCTTCACCATGCACTCCCCACCGACAAGATGGATGCAAAACTTGGAAAATTAATTTTTCTTTTATAAAATATAAATTCACATGAGAATAAGTAAACAGATTAGTTTTTTAGTACAATCTGCGTATAAACAGTCTGGGCCTTCAGGGGTATTACATGTATTTATTTCACGTACTATAGTTTCACAGCTGCTCTAACCAAACGATCATCTGTTTTTTCCATAGCTATTTTTTCACAGCTCACAGCTCACAGCAGCTTTTTCAAAAATCATAACTCAACCAAACGGGACCTCGGTGTTCCGCGACTCCGCGCGACGTGCGTGACCCTCCCAACCTGCGAAACCACCATAGCAATTCCTACATCCCCAATCCCTTATCAGTCTTGGAGACGGGTCCCATAGTGCTTGCTAATGCCCTCAAGTCGCCAAGTTTAGACCGAAGCATAATTGGTGCTTTAGTGGTTCAGATACGAGACATTATGCAATCAGAGTTTTCTTTTTGTAATGTCTTATATTGTAATAGATCATGTAATAAGGTGGCAGATTCTTTAGCTGACCATGGAGCTTATGCGGTGGAGTGTGGCTCAGATGTGTTAATGAGCCAAGCGCCTTTGCATGTAATGAATCTTCAGCCTGTTCGGCTGGGATTATACGATCGTAAATAATCGTAAATTTCCAGCCGAAACAATATTTTTCTCTCACACCAAATCAGCCAGCAGTACTTCTTCACGATCTAGCAACGAACAAGCCCAGCCAAACGAAGAGGCCACTTGTATTGGATGATTTGCTTAGGAATGAAGTTTAATGCAGATGTGTTACTTGATAAAAAAATCCCCTTATCAGTTCTCTACTCCTAAATCCACCTAAAAATGGACATTATTATATTATTGTCAACAGTAACTTATCATAAAATAAATTATAGCTTTTAAATAAATTTTATAGAAAGGATAAAACATAAATTGATATGTAACATTTTCGTCCTCATTAACATGTAATATCTTTTTTTCTGGTTGCAAAGCACGTACATGTTTGCTAGTTCCGTTAAATGTGTTACATTTATTGTACGGTAAGGTTTACCTTCTCGTGGACATGATGAAAGTGAAAGTTCGCTTAATAAAGGAAATTTCTTTGAGCTGTTAATTATGCTAGCTGCAAACTTTGAAGAGGTTGCTAAAGTCGTTTTGAAAAATGCCCTGAAGAATTATAAGTTAAGGAGAAAGACATCATCATCCGCTTCTATGCCATAAAAGATCACACTGTTAAAGCAAAATTGTTGTTCTCTTTAAGCATCATGTGATTTCTTATTATTAGTTTGTTCCATGCACATCTTAGACTTGAACAATTTGTACCTTTAATTGTCTATGAACTATATTTTGGATCTTTGGATTAGACTTTTTTTAGGAGATGGGAATACCCAACTCCAAAGTCCTGGCTCCGACACTGGACAGAACTGCGAGGAATTGATGATAGTCTAGGGTTTAAGTAGAAGTGAAAAGGTCGTAGATGTGAACCTTCTACTGATATCATGGAAGCATGGTGCATACAAGATTGGACTAAATACACAATAATTCACTAATCAAAGTTAGGGCGATTACATATATATAGGCATGAGTCTGAGAGCCCAAGACTAGCTAGGGTCAAGCATACCACTATAACGCAATCGGTCGACACATGGCCTTTAAGGCTAGAGATGTTATATGTATGTTTACAACTCTAACATTGTTCTTAGTACTTGCAAGAAATAAGCATGTGGAATCACATGTGGTGTCTAAAAGAACACCTCATGAGTCGCCTTTAAGCTTTCACGGGAATAGAGATGTTTGGTTTGAGGAGGCTGTCCATGAAGCTCATTTCTGAATTTTGATAAGATGACTCCATGATGCTTACTGTATTAATCATGCATGTCCTTGTCAAACATGAGGTGGCCGTACCCTTCCATTCCTCAACCAAACAAAAATTTGAGAAGTGGCAAATCAGCTCTCGTCGTGTTTTTGTACTACTCCTCGCTACATATCGGCGAAGAAGTGGTAGATCCTAGCATTGTTGAAGATCAAACGAACAGCGGCGGCAGTGGTAGCGACGCAGAGAACCGAGGAGAAAACGATGATCCCCCAATGCCAAAGTCTGTTACATCTCCCACCGCTCTTGCCTTTGATCTGCAACACGTGCGGTGCCATCAAACTAATCACTCATGCATCCCGTTCAGCATGCATATCTTGCAGCAACGAGCCAGCAGAGCAGGTTGTTAATTACCTTGAGGATGGCCATGCTGGGGAACGTGAAGGTGAGCGGGACGAGCGCGAAGGAGCCGACGAGGTTGACGAAGTCCCCCATGAACGGGAACAGCGCGGTGACGAAGACGTTGAAGCCGAAGACGAGCCCCCGCGCGCAGAGGCGGCGCGTGAGGTTGTAGCGGGAGAACATGCCCTCGTCCAGCCGCTGCAGCCGCGTGTCCATCGCCTCGTGGATCGGCACCGTGAACAGCTGCACACGTACGTCCACCGGCTTTGTTAGCGCTATCGTACGTCGTCTATGTTGCCGGCCGGTGCGGCCGGCGGCGCACGTGAAATTGAAGAAGCTAGCGTGCGTACGTGTTGGGAGACAATGCTCTGCAGGAAGGAGGTGGCGTTGATGAGGACGGCGGCCCACCTTGGCCCGCCGAGCTCGTTGGGGAGGTACTCCGACACCGCCGACCCGTATGCCCAGTACCCCGCCACGCTGATGCCGTAGTACCCCGCGGCGCCGGCGGTGTACTGCAGCAGCAGCGCCCGCCTCATGCCGCGCACCGCCGGCTCCCGCACCGTCGACTGAAACCGCGAGACCAAAACATGTAAAGCGTCGTGAGTCGTCGTCCGGCTGCTCCAGCATGCACGTTGCCGCCGAGCTCGGCCGCGTCAGCAACAAGCGACGAGCGAGTAGACATCAATAGAAGAGATCGACAGGGACCTGTATCTCCGGGAGCAGCCCGGACGTGTTGCAGACGAGGATGGCAGCGACGGCGCCCAACGCGTTGAACACCTTCTCGGCTTGGGTCCCATGGACGTTGTAGTCCTTCTGCTTGTTCGATTTCCCTAACGAGAAACGACAGCAAAAGCTGGTAATTTCTTCTCCCAGTACTCAAATAGATTCAAGCGCAGAACGAGATGGAAACAACAGAGATAGGATAGATGGAAGAGATTAACGGCGCGCGGTCACCATCTCTGATGAGGATAGCCAGCAGAGCGACGTCGTAAGCTAATGTCAGCACGGCCGACGTGGCGAGCCAGTTCCTCATGGCAGAAATCGTCGGCACGAAGTAGGCGAAGGCGAAGTAGACGAATCCCGTCGCGGTGATGAACCACTGCAGCCTGGCAGGGGTGTGGGTAAACTCCGTGTTGATTGCCTGGTTAATAACCACGAGTAGTACTGAGGGGTTAAGCTGGCTACCTATATGTATTTATTTATATATACTGAGTATGTGTATATCTGAATACACTGGTACAGATATGGTTTGTACCTTGAGTGCTCTTGCGCCTAGTAAAATGAAGCCCATATTGCACAGAAGCAGAGTGGTGAACTGCAGGAACCAAGTGATGTAGTACATGTTCCTCCCTTCAGAACAAAGCATAGAAAAAAACAAACACATGAGGTACTTCTGCTCTTCTAAAATTTGTCGTTTTAGTTTTGTCCTACATCAAACTAGTCTAACTTCGACGAGTATACCTATACGTGGCACATCAAAGTAGTTTCGTTAAATCAAATTGCTCGAAATGGAGAAGTTTTACTTAGTACAAAGCACAGACGTACAATCAGAAATAGAGTGAGTAACTTGCAATATTCCCTCCCTGCATATGATGTACAAATTAGCTATGTGCGTACCGAATACGAAGCCCATGAGGTCCCTGTAGCGGATGAACCTCTGGCCGTCGACGAAATGGAGGCCGGCGAGGAGCCAGTTGGCGTACCATGCGGCGGCGCCGACGAGCAGCAGGCAGGCGACGCCCCATGCCCAGCCCAGGGGCACCATCATGAGGTTGGAGAAGCTGAGCACGTAGGCGCAGTTGAAGCCGATCACCATCAGCAGCCCCACCTGCTGCCACGAGTCTGCAGGCGACAACCATACAAATACAAATGATCTGAACCGGATCAGAAAATTCAGAACAGCTAGCATGCATGTTTCGTTTGGTTCATACCTGTGTCCACCGCATGAGCAGTAGCCGGGATGCTGTAGCCGCTGCCGTGCTTGAGCTCGTGGCCTGCAGCTTCGGTGTCCATTGAAGAACCAGCCATTGCTCCTCTTCTCTTGTCACCTGCTTGTTCCAAATGAGCTAAGCTAGCAGCTTGCACGGCCCAGGAGGGACATGGCCTAACACACTGCATTTATAGCCGATACGTCGATGCATATATGGGCAGGCAACGAACGAAGATGCGAAAGCCACGATGCCGATTCGTCCCCGGGTATACAACAAATAAAATAAAGCCCTATTTCCCTTAAAAAAGGCTAATTTACACTGATAAGCTATCCAAGCTAGAAAAGAAAAGAAAAAGCTGATATTTCAGCACCAATGCCTTTGGTTTCGAAAGTTGAGGCACTAGAGCTCCCATAGACGACAGAGCAGAGAAGGGCTAGTGTATCGGTTGCGATTTCGTCCTCGCCTCTGGTCGTTATCCACCCCCACTGCCGCGCCGGCGCCTCATCAGTGCTGTAACGTCGTCGTGCGTGCTGCTGTTACGTAAGAGTAGTGTCGTAGTCCTCGGTGCTAATTTGCTCGCTCTCCGCGCGTCGGCCGTCTCCTCCTTTTCCGTGTCCGTTAGCTGAGTGCCAGAAAAAAGGTTGCATGAGATAGGCAAAGGCAAGGCTCCGCTTCTGCTGACCGGTGCCAGCTTTCGGGCACGGGCGAGGAGTCACTGAAACCGGTGGGGAGGAAGTCAGGCACGTCAGTTGGGGCGTGTTTGGTTGTTGGCTTCTTCCACGAAAGCAGTTTTTTTTGTGTGTACATGTTAGGTAGGTACTATCTTCACCGTCCAACACCGTATCGAGATGTGTGCAATCCAAATCAGTAGTGTGAAACAATGGAGAGAGAGTGTTCAGCAGTGGGGAGAGTGCAAGCAGCACGAATCTCAAAGCACATTTGAACGGTGCAGATAACACATGCTGAGATTTGGATTGCACACATCTCGATGCGGTGTTGGACGGTGAAGATAGTACCTGCCTAACATGTACACAACAAAAAACTGCTTTCCTTCTTCCATGTCTTGGTTTCGCTTGTGCATGTTAACTCACAAAAAGTTTGTTTGTTTGGTTGCTTACTTTTACTGTTTACAATGACTCCACTCATACAAATATACGGTTCCTGGCTCCACAGAGAAGGTCATTTCGACCTTCACTCGGAGCCTGCCTAGGCAGATGCAGGGTACAGGACGCTAGCCCACACATTAGTCTCATATCAATAGTCTACGTGTCCACTCATACAAGCCAAACATCTTCACGGAGTAATTGCATCCACAGATACAACCAACCAAACACGCTTCTTTTTAGGGTCACCTGTCTCCACTCATCCACTCATCTCCACTCATCCAGCATATACGACATAGCTCTACGAGATCTCATTCGAACAACCAAACACACCCTTGATTTCTGCCTCAAAGTGTTTCCACACGATTCTATATTTCTATCACTAAGAATTTGAGCTATTCTTATTTTCTCAGTACACCAGTCCAACAGTCGGGCGCATGGCTCCGGTTCAAATTTATAGTACCGAGTTAGTTTCAGGTATACACGCAACGTTTTGGCTAAAATTGACTAAAAAATGAACTATATTGAAAAAGAAAGTGGACCTAATTTTCTCATTAGCTCCTGAATGTCAGCAGTGCTAGTCTATTCGTGAAATTCGACTGATCTCTAAAAGCAAAGCTAATATAATGGACCTAATTTCATGATAACGGCAATGGACATAACATTCATGTGGAGAACACCATTGCAGCACTAAAATATGCTTGGAAGCCATCATTAGATATCCTGTTACTCTCATTCTGATCATCCCATTATCTTGGTGCAAAGCACACACACCGTCTTTTGAAAAGGCAAAGGGGGAAAACATGGTGATAACTTTGATAAATTTACTTTATGTCACAAAGGAGGACGTGGATTTGATTGATTGACCATCCACCATCACAGTTCGCTAGTGTGGTGTATGTAATGGTAACAGAAGAAAGCTTTTTAGCTTCTATATTCTCAGACGCCAAGGCTTACCAGACAATGGACCAGGCCATCATAGAAGAAATTCACCTTTCACGCAAGGATGACGCAACAATCCCCATTTCTGAAACACCTGGCTGAGCTTGTAAAATTTACAGCCTGGCATGGGGGCGAAATTACCACCACTGCCCTGGGGGCGTTGCCACACAAGTTTCTCCAACTCGGCAATGTTTTTTTTTACCCGGTACACACTATTCAAGATGCTGTAGTGAATACTAAATCCCTCACTGACAGCACCAATATTCGTGCAGACATACAGATGTTGCTACCGCCGATAAGCTGAGTGTACTCATGGTTACCTAGACGAATGCTGCAAAACAAAAGGGATTCCGATGTACTGAGCCCAAGTTCACAACGAGCTTGCAGGTGTTTCTCCAAGTTGTGGGTGGGTCTTACTTACACTGGACATTCAACTAGCAATCCATGCGGTTGAATATGGATGCAATGGACATGGAGCATATATACGAAGAATCATATCCTGTTTTCTTTTAGCACATACTCCACATGGTTATACAGCCTCCATAAAGTTGCATCATCCTAACCAAACAAAAACAGGTGATGGTCAGTGTTAATATGGTGAGGCGACAAAGTTTGCATTACTTGGAAACTGATTATGTTTTCAACGCACGAGTCATAATAGCGTTTATTTAAAATGATAAATATTAGGAACATACCAATTCTCCCAACTTCAAGGTTATTTGATCAGATTTCTGATTCGCCAGTTTCCTAGCCGTAATTATCTCCGCGACACGATTAAGTGCCTCCTCCGGGAGCTTTCGGATGCGCTTCCCGAGTTCAATCTTCTCCTCAGTACTCATAGGTCTTCCGATATGCAACAATTCAACAAAAGGATGATGTATTGTCAGATACTAGAAACAATTGATTTGTAATTCTGCAGGGGAGGAAAAATGATACGCAGCTCAGTGAAATGTGACTATGTGAATACTCAATTATGCTATTGTAGTCTTCAGACCGTAGGATCTCAAATTCTTAAAAGTGACATAAATAAGCACATAGTTCATTTCATATGACAAGAGTATGGCACCTGCATTTGGATGCTGCTGTATTTAGCAAGTCATTAACACCTTGCGCCATTTTACCAAGCTGAAAAGAGAGAAATACCGCACTTTAGAACTCTTACAATGTAGTTTGACGTATTATTGCTAGAAAGACTATCCAAGCATCAAACTATGCATACCTTTCCCAACAAATCAGCAGATAACTTCTTCATATCCTCTTGACATGTTTCACCACATTCTTGCATTCCATGAATATCTTGATCAACCTGCAAGCAGAAAAGATAAAGTGAACCAAGTTTCCACGGTCGGCTAACTTGATACATAATTTGACCTAGCAGAGTACCAAATAAATCTGGTTGCCTAACTGCAGGATTATCAGGTGTGAAGATCACAGAAGTGAGAAACTCTCCTGCATCCTATGCATTGTCACAAAAGACATTTGGTCTCTGAAAATATAGCTAAGATGAAGATATTCTGTGCTAGAAAAAACATAAAAGCTATGTCATGTTTTTTTTTCATAGAAGGGCAGGCTTGGTGCAGTGGTGAGAGCTGTCTCACTGAGTCACCAGGTCGTGGGTTCGAAGCAGCCTCTCCGCAGATTTGGGGGGGGGGGGGAAGGCTTGCCTCGGTTTTTCCCTTCCCCAAACCCCACTCATGTGGGAGCCTCCGGCACTGGGTCTACCCTTTTTTTCTGTTGTATAGGCCAAAATAAAATGTGGCACATGGTCTACCAAGCACAACAGTTGGTTCCAGAATAGACTACTACACCTGTTGAAAGACACCTGAATGTTTGGTTACAAGAGCACCCGCGGCCCCATCCTCAAGTGATGAACTCATCTTCATTAGTACCCCTCCAATCCGACTTTGCCCGGTCATCTTCCTGGCAATGGTTACCCTAATGATCTAACAATCATAACATCTGGTATCAGGTAGCTCTAGTTTCAATCTGATTCCATGGCTTCTGTTGCCGATAATTCCAACGCTCACATTGAGTACTGTTGCGTCTCCAACGGGATTGATCACATGATTGTGTTGATTGTCTGCCTCCAAGTTCTTGTTGAGGAGAAGATGGATCAGGAACATCGGGCGGCAGAGTGTATTAGGGCAGCAGCACATGGATTCCCCATGAGGTGAGAGGCCAACAGAAGATACCTGCCCCTGCCAGTGGATTTGGCTTCATCGCTGCTTTATATTGTCGGACCATTGCTCACCCACATCGTTCTGACTGGCGGGGGGATTGATGATGGGGCTGCGCTTGCAGCCCTTGTGGCAAATGATGTAGTTCATGCACCGCTCAGCCCTGCCGTTCCTTACCAAGTACGTGTTTTGGAGTCCAGCTTTGGACGTGGACGTCCATCCTTCCAACACACACATGAACATGATGGTCATCTTGGGTGCAGGGATCAAAGCAGACGAAAACAGATGGAACCCCTTAACCATTTTTGTTTCCACATTTGATCACCAAAAACGAAACCGGGACCAGGATAGCCGAGAATGGGAACGAAAATGGGATATGTGGGAACAAACAAATTCGGACAGGAACCGGAAACTTAAACTAGGATCATGGTAAGCTTAATGGACCTATGTGGCATATAAAGTGCCTTACAAGTATTCTTGAGGGCCCCTCAGGAGGACTTCTAAATTCTTAAGCTAATATTTGTCATGAAAACCTAAATGTTCTTTTTAGAAAGGTTGCTAGAATAAGAATTGCTCAAACTTATCCTAGATTTTGTAAATACATGATGAATATGGGTCTATCATGCCTAAACACAGGACCCGGCAAAAATAGACAGGAGACACATCTCCCGCTTCCTATAACATTTTTATATTTTTCCACAAATAGAAAACATGCAGGATAAATGTTGAAAACAAAACGAGACAGGACGGATTTAACCTGTCCGTTTTCAACCTTAGGACCATGGCCCAATATCTGTCCGTTTTCAACCTTAGGACCATGGCCCAATACTCCACAACTGAAATGTGGCACCAACGGTCTAAACTTGCTCCAATACAATACCACACCACATTACTCTTGCTCTAAGCGGTGGAGTCCCGCATGGTATGCTTAGGCTAATTGTTAGTCAAAGATAACAAAGTTTGAATTTTGAAATACGTGCAGGCCCTATATTTTAGGATGGAAGGAGTAGTTACAGAGATAGGGTTAGCTAGAGATGATTAAATAAGGTTTTTGGGAGGCACGACAACCAATTGAGGAAAGCATGCAAAGAAGAAAAAAAATCTCCCCCTCCAATGTAGTCCCCCTCAAAAATTTACTCGGTTATCTTCCTAGCAATTCTTACCCTAATGATCTAAGGATCACATCAATAAGTAAGCATGACTCCTTAACTAAAGCTAAGGACACTTGTCACCTTGACAGGGATTGGTAGCAAATTCTACTACCTAGCATTGATGACCTTATCAATCATCTAGGTGATACCAAAGCTTGAGATGTGATACAAGCAATGCAAAAATACATGAACTTCCCATGATTTATCATGTCCCTTTCAAGTCACCATTCTTTTGTTCAGGCGGAGCCAGCCATGCGTTGCATATTTGTCTTAAATGCAGCTATCAATTGAAGACTAACTTCATGAATTTGGCATTGCAACTTCCAAGCACATGAGACTTGGCCTGAACTGGATTGGACTAGTTGGCGTAACAAGAGTTACTGTTTGGTAGGGTCGGGAGGGTGTGGGACTAATGGAAAATGTATTTGTGTTATGCTAATGCTAATGCTAATGCCAACGGAAATTACCAAGACAAAGAGGAAATTTAAACACACTACATTAAACATTCATAATGTAAACATACCTTTGATGATCCACATCTTCATGTCTCGAAGTACCGAGCATGTTGAATTAGTGATATGATTGGAGAACGTAGACCACTCAAAATGACACAACAATGAAAATTCTATAAATGCACTTGGCTATAGATATAGCATAGCATAAGAACCACCAAAAGTGGATACACTACGAGTTCATTCTCACATTTCCATTACACGACATTATGTATTAAGACAAAAATGCAAAAGGGCCTCTAGCTAAGTTGGTTACGTGACTTGAGTAGCACTCTTCGAGTCCTAGGTTTGACTCACCATTGGAGCAAATTTTTAGGCTAGGATTTAAAAAAAATCCCCTCATCTGTCACACGACAAGCACAAGTCTAAGGCCTAGCTCCGGTTGTTCTCACATGGGCTACGATGTCGCTGCGTATGGGTGGGCAGGGATTCGGGTTTTTTTTGTCCTGCGTGAGGTTTTCTTCTTAATGCAATGCATGGGGCTGTCTTACCTCCCAAGTCTATTTTTTTGTTAAGACAAAAATGAAGTGTTCAATGCTATCCACCAGGTCTATGGTAGCAAGAACAAAAGTTGTTGTGAATTAAATAAAGCGTTTGAGAACACTCACACCCTAGGAACAATAACATCGTCATCAAAATAGTCCACAATGAAAAGCCCTCTAAACTAAGGCCTACTTCAATAGCATTGACCTTTCGACGTGGCCCGTGTTTGCGATCCAACTAATTTGGCACGGGTGCTCCACCATGGCTCAAATAGACTTCTTTTTAATTCAACATTGTATCACCTATACCCTATCCATCTGCTTTGTTGTCATTGACATCACTTAAAACCCTAGCCATGATGCCAAAACAGAGAATATGAAAACAAGGATTGTAGAATAGAAGGTACTCAAGGCATGAAAGAACATCAAAGCCAGAATTGAGGCCAAGCACCAAAGCCACGGTAGAGACCAGGTCAACGTAACCCCAATAGGAACCTTAGAACCCGATGATGTTCCCATAGAATTAGGTTCTATGGAAGAAAACTTTCTTTAAATACCATTCACCAAATTTCTAGTTTTGCATGTTTAGCAATTGATTATGAGAAAGAGACCCAACTCCTGATGATCAACTTTTGCCCATTTATTGTCATATATGAGAAAAGAATAATGACACTTTTCAAGAAGGTACCTCAAGGATTTTGTGAAAAACTAACCAAATTCATAAAGTATGATGGATATAATAAGCCAACAATGACAAGTTTATACCTCATCAAGATCATCGTTGAGGATTGTAATAATCTCATGAAGTGTGTATTTTATTCCCTCCTTATCATTCTTTGATAGGCCACTGATTTGTTCCGCAAATAATGGTAAGGCTCTATTGCAAACATGGCCCCTTTAGATTGAGTATCAGTGCCTTGAGCTTCGTTACTAACTCCTTTACAAAAAGAGTCACCCTTCTCCGGCAACAATTTAGCCAGAACATTTTTGTAGTGCTCCAAACGATTGACATTAGAATCATTTCCCTCGAAAGATTTCCTTGACATTTTCCTATATTGTAAGAGACTGCACAAGCCAAGACCAAAAGTTAACAAGACGATGCGATTTCACATCATCAATGAGAACATCCACAGTTTGAATGGTATTGTAGCTATGAATGGCCAAACGACCGGCCTAGCCGGACACAACACAAGCCAATTAGGCACAACCCACCTCGACTTAGGCAGATATGGCCCTATTAACAATCATGTCGTGTCGTGCCAGCCCATGGGCTCAGCCCAGGCACGACACTAGGCATTGTCAACCGTGTTGTCCCGGCCTGACTTGCCCAACAAGTCGACGGGCTATGCCAACCCAATAGCCGAACCCACATATCAAGAATGAATAAAATCACAAAACTTGGCTCAAAAAATTACAAATTACAAATGAACGAAAAATGCATGCAAAGATCACAAATCTATAATCCATACATACCGAGATCAAATACGTCATCCATCTCCTTGAACTGTCATCCATGATAGGCCCTCCGACCTTCACCCCAACATGCTTGCTACTTGGGCTAATGGGAGAAGAAGTTAGGGTTTTGTTGAAGATGAGCCGTAGCAGGGAGTTTGAAGGAGAATAGCTAGGGTGGCGGTCAATGGCTAAGAAGATGACGGCAGTCGCATTGTGCGCCCCTCTGGGACGGGCATGCGTAGCTACGAGGTTGGGAAATAGGGACTGGGGTACTAGGGTTACGGTGCCAGTAATAGCCACATATATATGTAGGGGTCGACTAGCTGAGGGTGACATCTGGCCCTTAAGAGGCCATTAGTTAATGGGGTTGTGCCCATGCTGGCACGCCATGCCATCCCCTTGGCCCAAGCACGACTCAATGTGTGGGTCATCCTCATGTCAAGCCAACTGCTACGGGCCTCAAGCTAGCCTACTAAGCTAACCTATTTAGAGCAAATTGTCCTTGCCCATAGAGACTGGAATGGAATGAAGGGATATTTATTTCGTCACCCCTCCCAATTCCCTCTGATCCCTTGAGAAGGTTTATCCAAATAAGCCCTAAAATGCAAATAGCCAAAACCACAAATCCCTAAGGCCCGATTTGGATATCAGCAGATTCTAAGAATCAGATTAAAAAGAACCCCTAGGTTTTGGAGCATTCCATCAAGGGGGAAAGCTATATACGGTAGAAAGGGGGTGCAGATGAACCCACACAACAATCCAAAATTAGTGGTTATAATTAATTTTTCACCATGTATGCACCATGGCGACACAAGGTATGTGCATCCCCTCTAATTCTAATTACTCTAGCTTCGCCACTGATTCCAATGCACATATATTCTCAAAATCCCAAAATCGAACTCAAATTATAGGAAATAGTCCCCCCCATTCCAAATTGTAAGACATTTTGCCTTTTCTAGTTACGTAGCTTTTGCTACGCACTTAAATATACACTAGATATATGTAAGATCAATGTAGGTAGAAAAGTCAAAACGCATAATTTGGAACGGAAGAGTAAGTAATTCTCAAAAATCCTTACCCAATTCAAACGTGGCCTAACAATCTCGACCTAAAGTCCTCAAACCCTCGATCCTTGCCCTTTTTCTCAAATCCAGAATTTTCAAAATCTCAATGGAAAGCCCAATCTCGCTAGATCTAAGAATATACCATAGGAGGGCCTCCTTCCATTAAATTTACACCTATACCCTAAAAGTTTTAGAGAGATTACGGCCTGTTCGGAACATTGAAATTTCACATAAATCATACAACAATTTCAAAGAAATTGGTTAGATCGGATTTCCAGAAAAAACCGTCAAGATTTATAACATCGAATTAATATTATTAGCATAGAATATATTTTCATAACGTACTCATTTTATGTTATAGATGTTGTTACTCTTTATAGAACTAGAGAGGAGAGTGACGAAGAATAGAAGACTAAAGACGAGGAAAAAAACAAAAGGAGAACAAAACACACCTTGGCATCTCAGATCCGTCAATCTCCAAATCCCTCGTCCTTTCTCGCCTACCTCCGTCCAACTCTCTTAGCCTTGGCCTCGATTGCCCTTCATCTCTCGCTGCTTCGTGGGTTCTTATTGCCGTCGAGGGAGCAGGTGGCGGCGCGCCGTGCTTCATTTTCTGGACGCTTCTTTCCGTCATGAGCGGAGATCCTGTTTTAAAGGAGGAAGAAGTGAGTCGTCCTTTTTTTAAGGAAGAACGATTCAGGCCCAACTAGTCAGGCCTCATGGGTTTTGTCAGATTGGGCCGCGCCACGCATTTGATTTGGTGAATTTTCCGAAAAGCCCCTCGGGTCAGTTCTTTTCACGCAAACACCAGCATCTCCTCCCAGCCGAAAGCACCTAACCCGCCACGAGCGCACCGCCGCACGTTCCGGATTCCCCGCCGCCGCCGCGATCCCGACCAGAGCCCTAATTGCAAGGGGTAAACGATGAGGCCGCACGGGGCGGGGACGGGCGGCGGTGGCGTGGGGAGGCGGAAGGCGGGGGCCGCCGCTGCTGCGGCGAGCCGAGAGTGGATGGTGGTGCCGGCGTCGGGCCCGGCGCGGGTAGAGGAAGCCGGGAAGCACGCGGTGATGGCGCGTACGGGGCTTCCTGCGCGCGATCTCAGGGTGCTCGACCCGTTACTCTCGTACCCGTCCACGATCCTGGGCCGCGAGCGCGCCATCGTCGTCAACCTGGAGCGCGTCAAAGCCCTGATCACAGCCGCGGAGGTGCTGCTTCCAAACAGCAAGGATCCCGCCTTCGCGCGCTTCGTCCGCGACCTCCAGAGCCGCGTCCTCGCATCTTCCTCGGATCAGGTAATGTCTTTTACTACTTTTGGTTATTAAATATCTGTTAGGCATTTTTTTTTTCTTTTCAGTCTTAGGAATTATGTCCTCTGCCCCTGAAGAGTCCAATTCTAAGTTTGAACTAAGTCAAAATTTCTTAAGTTTGACTAAATTTATAGAAAATGATATAACATTTATATCTCCAAATAGATTTGCTATATGCAAATATATTCAATGGTTATTTTTTTTTGTGAATTATTCAATGATTAATCTAACGATACTTATTTGGTATTATAAATGTTAGTATTTTTGTATAAATTTGATCAGCTCGAAAAGGATAATTGCATTCTTTTTGGGCGGAGGGAGTACCCTCTCCGTTTCAAGTTGTTTTAGTTTGTTCTAAGTCGAACTTTGCTAACTCTGACAAAATATATTTCATAGTGTATCCAATTAAACTTGTTAGATGTTGTAGGTGTTTGTGCATTTTTCTATACTTGGTCAAAGGTAGAGAAGTTTGACTTAGGATAAAGATAAAACAGACTTAAAATTTGGTAAGGTGGGAGGAGGAATTATGGTGCGAAATTTCTTAGTATTTGTGCAGGGCACTGTACTGGAGAGTCTGTTTTGAAGTTTTACAATACCGCATATGCTCCGGGCCTGTTGTGGATTACGCAGTGGGTAGATATAGTTTTTCAAAGTGGACAGAATGGTGATACTTTGGAAGAAAGATAAAAATAACATGATCTAATATTTCTATGTTTTGATCACTTAGTGTTATGTGTAAGATATTGCAATCAGGGGATATATCATGGCAGAGAGAGTTCATGCAATTTCCAAAGTGGACTAAAATGGTGGTATTTAGGCATAAGGATAAAAGAATCGTATTGGATTGCTATATTTTGATCACTAAATGTTATAACAAATGGTGATTGAGGATATATCACTAATCGGTTTTCCCCTTTATCTATTAGGCAGCTGAGCTCACTGACATGGAAGGTGAATCATCTGCGGTTGCTTCACCATTTCCTGTACCAAGTTCATCCAAAGGACATGAAGTGGAGATGACTAAGAAGACTACCGCTGTTGTGCCTGAAATGACTAGCAGCACCAGTATGCCCAATTTAGCTATTGCAAAAGATGGAAATACCAAGGTTTTGCCTTTCGAATTTCGAGCTCTCGAAGTTTGCCTTGAGTCAGCCTGCAGATCTTTGGAAGAGGAAGTACGTGCTTGCATCTGGAATTCTTTGTCTGGTTATATACTGGTTATCTGACCACAATTGAGCTCATATCTCTCACAAGCTGCATTCCATGCTTTAGCTAGCTTCATTCATTATATGGGCCATGCAGGAACTACATCATTGTCACTTCTTGTAGAAGATTACTTGTTTGGATAGCTTCTGGCCTTTATTTATTTTATAATGTTTTCTATAGTGCGTTTAAGATAGCTAAGTTGTTCTCGCAAATAAACCAAACATAGGTTCCTTACAGATTCTCGTGTTGAGTGTTGACTAACATCCCTTCTTTTTTATTCTCTTCCATAGACTTCTACTCTGGAGCAAGAGGCATATCCAGCATTGGATGAGCTGACATCGAAGATCAGCACATTAAACCTTGAACGGGTTAGGCAAATCAAGAGCCGTCTGGTTGCGATATCTGGTCGAGTACAGAAGGTAGTCGGTTGAAATTCATTGATCTACTTCTTGTCAATCTTCTTTCAGATTTGTCAATGTCGGTCTTTGTTGCTGATTGTATTATCCTATATATGTTTCTTTTATGCTGAGGTAAATGAGGGGTTTCTGGTGTGTACATACCATCAAACATATTCTGTTGTTTAGTGTTACTTCTGTCATGTACGAGGTGGTGCCCATTTTAATTTCCTTGCAAGAAACTTGCTTTACTAATACAGTTTTCTTTTGTGAAAACATTATGTTCTACAAGGTGAGGGATGAGCTTGAGCATTTACTGGATGATGAAATGGATATGGCTGAAATGTACTTGACAGAGAAGCTTACTCAACAAGAATTCAGTGAGGCTTCATCTAGAGTGGAGGTTGATGATCCATCTCAGACAGAAGAGGATAGGCAAGTATCATAGTAAGATATTTTTTATTTTTCTTTGAAAGAACAGAACAAGCAATACACCTTTTCTTATATTCATTGATAACCTAAAGTGGTTTATATGCATCTTCTTGCAAATTTGCACATACCAATTTTTTAATGTATTTTATCCTCTTTTGTGTGTGTGTGTGTGTAGGGATGAAGAATATAGAAGTGAGCCAGATGGAAGCAATGGTAGCTTTATTGGTTATAAGCCTAATATTGAAGAACTGGAGATGCTTCTAGAGGCTTACTTTGTGCAAATTGATGGCACACTTAACAAGCTATCACATGTAATTTCACTTGCCCTCTTACTCACATTGCTGTCAATACCATTGTGTTTAGGGGCTACTATTGGTAACAGCAGATGTTTTCTTGAAGTGCGATATCACTTTAACCAGAATTGCTAACCTAATGGTTGAAGTATTTGATTTGTGTTGAGATGATGCTTCCACAAGTAAAACAAACGTTAAGAGTTGTAAGTTTTGTCTCACTACTGTGAAAAGATATTGCACCTTTAAATGTTGCAAAGTGTCTGGTTGATTTGGTCGAGCATTCCATGTCATTAATTATTGTTGTATATACTTATTTTACCATTTCTTTAATAAAATCTAACTAAGACATCATAGAATTAGCAATTTCTTGTAAAATTAGATAACTTAAGCCAGGGAATCTTGTGCTGTGGCAATGGCTTAGTTTATTCTGCACCTAATTACCCATGGTTTTTTGTTGCCTTTTCTTTTGACATGCCATGTGCTATCAGTGACACTAGGACACTAGTGTATGGTGCTTCACATTCATAAGATGTCTTATTCGCATGTCTCTGATACTTTAAATGTCCTCTCTATGATTGAAGTTGAGGGAGTACGTTGATGACACAGAAGATTATATCAATATAATGCTGGACGACAAGCAGAATCAGCTGCTGCAGATGGGGGTTATGCTCTCAACTGCTACTGTTGTCATTACTGCTGGAGTGGCTGTAGTTGGTCTTTTTGGTATGAATATTGGCATATCACTTTACAATCCAGCAACTGAGGAGGAAACTCGAGCAGCAAACAGGAAATTTTGGGAAACTACTTTCGGGACCGTTGCTGGCTGCATGATTTTATACATCATAGCCATGGGTTGGGGGAAGAGAAGTGGATTACTGCAATGATGTCGAACTGTGGTCTGTGGAATCATAAAAGTCGACTGCACCCAATGCTGGGTTGACAAAAATCTCCAAAATGAAGATTGGCATGCAGCTCGATCATACTGCTGCCAGAAAATACGTCTCATTCGACTATGCCTTAACATAGAAAGGGATGAAATATCTTGTGTACCACTAGTAGCAGGTAATGTGTGTGAAAGAAAACTACTGTACAATATGTTGCCCCTCTCCTGTCATGGCAACTCAGTACTTTTGCACCTGTTTACCACGCTAGGTGCGGTTTTTGCACTTGCTATTGTAATAATTTCTGTAACTGTTGTAACTGTAACTTGTAATGAAGTATATCATAAAACTGCAACAAGTCTATCTTGTCTGCAGCTAGATCTTGTCATAAAGCTGCAACAGCCATACTCACTTATTCAGGATGGGGGTATCAAAAGTTTCAAAGTTTTGGGTGTACCGTGCTTGTGATATACTCCCTCGGTTCTAAATTACAGGTGGCTTTGACTTTGCTGCTAGATATACATAGCAAATTTGATGTACCAAAGAAGTTGAATCAACTTATAATTTGGAACGGTTTATTACTCCCTCATCCAAAAAAAAAAACTCGCTAAAGAATTATTTCTTCCTTGAAAGTAGGGTTTAGGGTGATGCCCGGGTCTATGCATCAGCTTCTTGCAACGAAGTTTCTGTTTTGGCCGGATCTCCAGGTCGATCCGCTCTTTCTTTACTTTAGCTCCACGAACTCAGGTATGTGGTATGTCAAACATGCATGAACTCATTCTTCTGAAATTGATTCGGTGAGACTCACAACTAGTCAGTGCTCGGTAGCACTCATATGGGATGATTGGTTGCTCAAGGGTCAGCAAGCCGAGATGGAGTGGCTGTCCAGGCTCTTTCCAGCCATGATAAGACTATGCATTTTGCTGTGTTTAGTTGTCTTTGTTGTTGGTCCAGTACGAAACGAGATTGTCGGGTTCATAAACCCGGGGTCCCCGGGGTCCCTCATGGACCGGCTTCCCAGCAAAAAGCTCGGGCCAGCAGACGACGTTGCGAACGACGCGTAACTCCTGGACCGGACCAAATACCTAAACGACATGCCAGAAGGGCGATCCAATCTTCGACCGGAAGGCCTGGCCGAGGAGAAACAGCGCCCGCTTCTTACTCCGGCCCGCCGCTCCGACCGGAAGGTCTCACTTCCGACTCCAGCCCGCCTCCGGACAGCCTCTCCGACCGGAAGGCCTGGCCAAACACCACTTCTGACTTCGACCCGCGTCTCCAACCAGGGATGCGCCGAGCCCCTGCTCACGGCTCTTCTCCGACTGGCGCAATCAGAGCCGACTGGGACCAACCGACCAGGGACGTCCGCTCGGTAAGGACCAAGAAACAGACGGACAAAGTAAGGCAGGGCACTCAAGTCAACTGCAATACCAAGGACCATACCCTATACACCTGCAGGACAGTACCCTGCGACCTTCCTGGCATGTCAGAACACAAGCAGTGTTGTGGGCGTCGACATTTTCCCTATAGTGTTGTGGGCGCCATCAACTCCCATACCAGACAAACACGGTAAGGCTCCCACACATGCCTCTAGGCATCAACAGAGTTGTGGATGCCGACATTTATCATACTAGGTGAACATGGTAAAACCCCCTGCGTGCCTCTGGGCATCAACAGTATGGCAGACACCGACATCTGCCATACTAGAAGAAGACGACGCAACCTCCCACATGCGTCTGACAACAAATAGTGTTATGGGCGCCTACCATCATCTTGTACTCGACGGCGTGGGCAACAAGACTTAGTAGCATGCGTACTCTCTCTCTCCCTCACTTGTAAGGCCACCTCCTTCATCTATAAAAGGGGATGCGCTCTCTTTCAACAGATAGATCCCTCAGTTCACTCACACACCACAACAGAACCACTAGGTTCAAACCTCGAGCACACGCTCGAATACTTAGCACATAACGGAGCTCCCATCACTCTCGGCCCTTCAGACTAGAGTCCGATCGGACCTCTTGTACCCCCCATCTTTCTCCTTTCCGTTTGTAACCCCACATCAAACTTTGAGCACCTAGGCTCAGGAATAAAGTCACCGACCGACCCAAACTGAACGTATGGCACGTTGCCTAAACCAGTATAAACCCTATGTCATTGAGTGCTAGGCCACCTCCGATCACAATGTACAGCAAAACTACAAATATTTACGTGTTGGTCACTTTCTGCACCGACCGTTGGCGTCGTCCGTGGGGAAGACGTTGTACGTTCACACTTTTGGTCATCAGATGGCCCACTTTTCTGCCACCTTCGCCATGGCGCGCTCAAGCGATACGACTCGCTTCGGCTCGCTGGAGTTTCCCTCACTCCCACCTATTGGGATGTGGGTTCCACCCGTCTTCGAGCCATCTCAAGCCTTCCTCTTCGAAAGCCTAGACTTCGTCGCCGACCGAATCGGCGTACTACACCTCGCGAGGAGGCACTCGTTCTGGCGCCCGTCGAAGGGGCGCCCTCCATCGGCTCTGGGACACACGATGACTTCAACGACGAGGCGCCTGCGCTTCAATCCGAGCAAACGCTCTGCTCAAACCCCACTGTGAGTAATGTACATTATGTCATTTGCTCGCTATTTACTATCTTCCACCGATTATCCAGAGGGACCGCATTGCCCGCACAACAACCACCGTACGACCGGTTCCCCTATGACCTTGCGTCCCCCATAGACGCGTACGCTCGGGGGCTCCGAAGGACGCTGGCGCCGTCCCCTCTCACATCCGAATTCGTGGGAATGGCGAGCTATGCTCCCACCACTTTCCACGAACTCCTGGATGACGAGTGTCAACAGAATATCATCGACAATCCTCTGAGGGGTATCCCACGAAGGTAGATTGATCGGCATAGAAGCATGTGATCAAGAACAAGAAGGCAACAGAGACACACGAGTTAGACAGGTTCAGGCCATCAGTATGACGTAATACCCTACTCCTGTGGTCTGTTGGTTTGTATTAGCTATCGTATGATATTGCGTGAGTTTGGAGGGGGTCCCTGCCCACCTTATATAGTCCGGAGGGTAGGGTTACAAGTCGGTTAGATTTGAGAGATAACCAAAAAGTAATAACAGATTACAGGAATCTTGAGATCATATGTATCCTAACAAATCTCGTAGTATCTTCAGGATATCTTCCCGGTGTCTTGCGGAAGGCGTCGAGCAGAGTCGTGCCCCGTAAGGCTTCGTCTTGTGGGCTGGATCACCCCTGGGGGCGTAGCCCATGTGGTCTACCGTGGGTATCCAGGGTCGTACCCCCCCACAGCTAGTCCCCGAGCGCCTTGTACCCGTGTGCAACGCCGTCATGAGCTTGTCTAAGCAGGTGCGAACAAAGCCGAGCAGTCAAACTCATGGTCTGACCATCGTGATGAGTTGCCAAGCAGTTGTGAGCAATTGCTGAGCAGCATGTACCATCTCTGGACAACGTGAACCATAGCCGAGCAGCGTAACCCAAGTACGGCTTGCCATAAGGGTGTAAGGAGCTCAAGTTCAGAATAAAAAATTTCTTCGCAGTGGACCAAGTGTGCCCACTTAGAGTCCGACCACGAGAAAAGGAGATAGTCTTCTAGAATAAAGCAAACACATTCACCGCGAGGTGAAGTGTGCCCACTTAGTCCCCGAGCTTGACAGTAGATGACGTAGTCATGTGGTGCCAGGGTCCAAAGTAGACAAAATAGAAGATCGACCGAGCAGGCAGCCAGTCCCCAGGCATAGCCCTAAAAAGCACATTCACCGTAAGGTGAAGTGTGCCCACTTAGTCCCTGTCTCCCTGAGCCTAACAGTAGGTGACGTGGTCACGTGGTGCCAGGGTCAGAATCAGCAGTCAACTAAAGAAAAATCCCCTATGCGGAGAGGAACTGAGACGTAATGCTGACGCAGTCCCTGAGCCACAAGAGGAAGTCTTGGAGAAAACCAAACACGGAGAAAATATCGGAGTAACAGATGTACAGTAGTAATTACTGAGCCGTAACGATTGGCGGAGAAGTCGGCGAAAATTCGGCGGGCCGTAACAAATTGCGGAGATAAATCGGCGATACGGGCCACGGTCACGCAAAAGCCTAGGTAATGGACCATCTTGCTGTTGCGGAGAATTCGGGGTGGCGTAAATCACGGGAACGGTTCCCCAAAAACCCTCGAATGCGAAAGGGTGGGGAAAGTGATTTATAACTGCGCCGCCGCATCCCGCGTTCCCACCTTTGCCACTTTGCCATTTCGTCTTCCTCCTTAGCCCTCACATTTCTAGATTCGCATCCACACTTGCTTCCGCCGCCAAACCCTAATCAGATCTGAGAGATGGCACCGAAGAAGGGAGCTGCCAAATCAAAGAAGACGAGCCCCAAGAAGGCTAGCGCCGAAGCCCGGCGTGACAAAGAGTGGGTGCCGTCGCGAACGAGAGAAGCGAAGCTCAACAGATTGGTGGAAGCTGGCGTTCTTCCTGACCGCGCTACAGCTGGATGGTGGCCGGCCCTCGGTGAGCCCTTCCCAACGCCTCATACCGATGAAGTGGTGGTATTTGAGGATTATTTCTGGCGTGGGTTGGGATTTCTTGTTCATCAATTCCTGAGGGATTTGTTGGAGCTTTGGGTGGTTAGTTTGTGCAATCTCCACCCAAATACCATTTTACACATATCTATCTTCATCCATTTCTGTGAGACATATCTCAGAATCCTTCCCCACTTCAACCTCTTCCATCACCTGTTCTGGCTGAAGAAGAGAGGCAGCGGTGGTTCCAAGGTGGTCGGCGATGTGTACCTTTAGCTGCGCAATGGAATGGTGGGGGAGTACCTTACTGTGCCGCTGAACACGTCATTGAAGGGGTGGAATGCCAGGTGGTTCTACATGAGGTAGAGCCACCTGGCCATCCGCTGCGATGCCGACCGTATCCCGGAGAGCCAGAAGAGCAGGTCGGAGATGCCAAGCGGAACTGATATGGAGAGTGTGCCACGTTTAGCCCTATAAGGAG